TAAAGAGTGATTTAGTCAATGTTAAATTGTCACAATTTTTAAATTATAAAATTGAAAAAATAAATTAATTTAAAAAATGCAAGTTGCTTAATTTCGACTTCTTTCAATAAACACTTAATGAGTGTACCTACTAAATTGATTTAAATTTGATTGCTACTTTAAGTCTATTTGTTATTCATTTAAATAAAAACACTACCATTTTATATTTGCAAAATGTGGTTTTACTTGAGAATATATACAACCACAAATGGCTTTGGTTGATTCCGCATACCAGTGAAAGTGTTGTATCAATTACTTTGGAAAAAATATATAGTAAAATTGAGGATGTATACCGATTACTATACGGTGTAAAAACACGATTTCTAAAAATTTTCGCGATAGAAAAAAAATAGAAACTTACTTCAAAATTTTACAAGAAAACCGCTGATTCAGTAGGTACTTTAGATATGCCAATGTTTTTTTATTAATCAACTGAACTAAATAGAACATTATAGTATACGATATACATTTAAATTCAAATTCAAATAGCTTTAATTTCGTTTGAAAAAAAAAATTTGAATAAAGCCAGTACCTGCCGCTCGACCCAAGCAAAATGAACCGTATTAGTACGGAAAAAATTTGAATTCGGTTGAGGTAGTATAGAATCAATTTAACTATGTTTAATGGGAGTGCACAAGTACCTAAGCTTTTGGTGTATGTATTCCAATTACACGGAGAAAGTACAATTACGTCGATTTAGAAATAACTATCATCAACGCAAATTACGAACATGAGTAATACAACCTTAGTACGTTAACTAACATTTGACGAAAACGTTTACGTTTACGTATATAAAAAAAATAAGAAAGAAAGAAAGAAAATACATTTATTTGTATACCACAAATGACACCACATAAAAAGAAACAAAACAGAAGAAAATCAAAATGTAATCAAAACGTATAACGTAAATAAATAATTAAAAATTATTACGAAACAAAAACACAATACCAAAAAAAAAAAATTTAATTAAAACACAAATTAATGCACATAGAAAAGGACACAACGTATAGAGATACTTTTTCTGTGGTACAAACAAAAGTCAAAACAAACAAAAAGTAACAAAAGGGTCACAGGGTCACTAATTCAGTATTTGCTGGAAAAGCAACACTACTTTTCAGCTATAAATATGTAGTAAAAATAGCTAAGTAACTCTTAGTACTGTAGTAATGACCTAATTAGTTATATTAATACTTGAACAAGTAGGTAGTCGTGTGGCGTAATTATTTTACTTAGTTGTGTTTTGTTTTTTGTGACCTCTGCGAAGCATTTGTCGATAACGCGCATTATATGTATATTCAATAATTACGAGGCAATAATCCACTTTTAAACTATAGGTTTATATGTATGATTAAGTTTGAGTAATTTTCCACAATAAACTTACAATGGACTTACTTGTACACAATCATTACGTGGTTTTATAAATATGTTCATTAAAAAGAAAACGCATTTAAATTTCTTATTGCCTTTAAGTTTTAAATATTTTGAAAGAAATAAAGTAGCTATTCTCATAAGTTACCAATGTAGTTTTCACGTATTGGCCAATAAATGCCAATGTTTATTTTTTTCATTTTTTGGCTTATCGCGGTCAGTGGTTAAAAAACAGGGAAATTTTTTGTATGTTGAGATTTAGGATGCGGATTTAGGAAAAAAATGGATCGGGAGAGAAATTTGGCTATACAAATGTACACAGAAAACAAAACGAAAACAGTAATTATATATTAATAATAGTGGAACTGTCAAAATTTGTATATTATTATCTACAAATAAATGGCATTATAAAAAGTGGGTCATTAAATGGTAACAACACCGAAATGGACGTAAGAAGAGGTATTACATGCCTAGATATGGTTTTGGAAAAGTGAGTCCAAATCTCTTACTTGACCACATTCACATAAATCACTTAAGATTGAATATGACCAACTTTGACTTCGGCTAAGTAAAAATGGCGAGCTAAGCAATTTTTTCCTATTTACAAAACGAACTTCGCCTAAGTTTAAGCAAGAAATTAAGAAGTAAACTTTACTCAAAGTTTAATTTAATTGCTTAGGTGACAAAGGTTAAGATTATTAGTGGCAGTAGAGCTCCTTGTGAAAGAGTTTCAGGCAAGTACAGCCACCTTACCTATTTCTGCTGCCAAGCAATAATATGAGCATTACTGCGATCCGGTTTGGAAGGGTAAAGGTGCTGGTGAAAGTACAGGCACTGGGACTTGCCAACTTATGTCTCAAGGTGACGGGCGCAGTGGCAGTGCACCTAAGATCTTTGTGATTTAAAAATCTGAGTGGCATTGAAACTGTTATGAATAGGCGCGTCGCTTACCACCGCTTACCACCACTTACGGCTTGTACATCCCATCACTTGGTATTATAAAAAAAAACCTAGTTCTGATCTTTAGGTTGTAAATGTATGATAATTTTTTTATATCTATTTTTATTGAAGCTCAGTCGTAGTCAAAGGTCGTTTTAAAAATCTTTCTAGTAGTGTGAATGTAGAATAGTAAAACTGTAAGTTGTAGTGTAGTACGCAGCGAAGGGTTTCAAAACTTTAAAAGGTATATTAGTCGTAAAACAGTTCCAAGTAGAGTTGGCAAATCTTTGCCCTTGACTGTACTCACACTGTATTTAGACTGTTCTATGGTAGACAGTCGGAGATTGAAATAAATTATTAAATACTTTTTTAAAGTAAGGCGCAGCACGTGGTTAAATTAGGTCCTCACTTGCGAAAAATTGTGCTTAAGAATGGTATGTATGTAATTATGTCTGTATGGTAAAACCATACGGATACACTGTATGGATATACAAATATAGTCTTCACTCCATATATATCTAGATATGGAGAAAGATCTTACTTAGAAGTGGGTCACTTAATCGGGTCAGACGAGGTTTCTTATCTCTATAAGTTTAAACAAGTAAAAGAACCTGCCTTGAGTTTTATAGTTTTCAGATCTACTAACAAACGTGTTTTTGTAAGCTTACAAAAATTAAAAAAAATTGTTTCGATTTTTACAGGTTTATTATATCTATAAATAAACTTTTAACTTAACTTGTGGTTTAATGTCAAGATACAAGTATGTAAAATGTAAAGACAGAAAAGATCAGTATTTACTGCATAATAATATCTTTGCTACGTGGCAGTCACTGTGTCTAGTTGGGCTATTTTTACCCGATTTAAAAAAGAAGTTTCTTATTCGACTGCTTCTTTTTTTGGGTGTATGTTACTCGATTATTTCGATATCTCTGAACCGATTTCGATGATTCTTTTTCTGTTGGAAAGGAGGTGCCATTAGTACCCCAGTAGTGGTCGCATTGAAATTTGAAGAAATAATTTCATTTCTAAAGGTGCTAAATTGGGGGATGAAACCGATTTATTGGATTTGACCCATTTTTCATTAACAGATTTCAATAACACTTGGCAAATATAGTAGATATGGTTCGACAAACTTTTGAGGTCATTTAAAAAAAAAGTTATAATTATGTTGCATTGTATTAGGTATATTTTACGGGATCGTGGGGGAGTTATGATGAAATTATATTTCTAAAGGTGCTATAGACATTACTGCTTCTTTTTAGTTAGCGTGAAAGTATTTGTTAGAGGTTATACGCCATTCTTATTTTTAAATCAGTTTTTCTAATATTAGTAACTGTAAGTCGTTGTCCTATTTAGTGGTCTGCAACCGAACCGGAACGGTACATCGTGATTGTTTTTGCATTATTATAAAATTCCAGTATAAACCTTCTATATGGGCATTTATAGCCATGAACATTATACATTGCGTACTGACTTTAAGCTAGCTGGGCTTTAAAACTGAAATATTCAGCATTGGACACTGATTTAAGTTTTCTAAAAGATTAAGTTCGATTATACCTGAACGTTGTTAAGGCCAATTAAATTTTTGTTCAAGATGCGCGAAGTTCTAAGCGGTTTATGTTCAAACCTTTCCCAGAATAAGAATGATATCATGGAGCTTTCAAATTACCTCAGAGAAGAGCAAAAAATAGCTTTGTGGTTTTGATTAAACCTAGAGCCGTAGTTGAGGTTGGGATTAATTTACAATTTTATAAATGTAATGCGGGTCTCTAGCGGATGCTTTGGAAAAGATTCTTAATTGAAGAAAGGTTTTACTTGCCGCGTATGAAAATCTCATATACATAGTTTGACAACGTAATAATTAGTAAATAAATAACCCTTGTAGTAAGTTATATATTTGATTAATTCATTTTATTTAAGTATGTTTATTAAAATGTAAACACGAATATTTGCTTTGAAACCAACCTTAGTATTATCATCTTAATTAACGTCAATCAAAAATATATGCTTTTCAATCACATATATTTTTTGTAAGTATTTACACAATAAACGCTGATTGAATATTTAGGTTTAGTCATTTAAAAAAATAACGATCCGGGGGCATGATCGCGGAACAGGTATCTCACGATACCGTGACTCAATCCGTGAATAACTATAATATATACATCAATTATTGTGTCCACAAGTTTTTGTTTTAGCTCTTAGCTTGTACGGCTTTTTGCTTTAAAGGAAGTACATTGTGTACCATTAAGGTATGTATTGATCACGATTCGTGAAAACAAAAATAGGATTAGGAGATTAGTAGAGCTTTAAGTTCGATTTTGGTTATGTAAGTGGATTATTAGTGGTTTTATGGAGTCTGAATTATACCTACACATTAGTAGAATGGTTAAACCAAAGTAGTAAAGTAATTACTATGTTAATTTAGAAAAAAATAAGTAGATGGTTACCAACTCATATCAAATGTAGGTACTAATACAATATATTTAAATAAATTCTTAATAAGTAAGATATAAGCTAATTTACGAAACTTTTTTTAGTATTGCTGAATAAAGCAATGTAGAGAAAGTTTAACCTTATTAGTGCCAAGTAGTCTGAAATAAATTGTCAATTTTTAAAATTAATTATTGAAAAGTAAATTAAAGCGTTCTTACCAGTTACTACACAGAACACCACACACAATAATACCAAGGATTTGTACATTGTGACGATTAATTAAAAAAGTTATTAATGAGAAAGAAAATAGATCAATAAATTCGCGATTGAGTATCGGCGCTTGCGCGGGCTTCGGCTGCGGGCGTGCGAGTGATGCGGCGCGCGAGCATCGAACCGGATTAAAAGCGTTCAAAACCGCCCGTGGATCGTGCATCCCGTCCATCAGTGGCTTTCCTGTTTCTAGCACATTATCTGGGGTTGGGGACATCAACCTTAAAAAGGCCTTATAGCAAATGGATGTTATAGCAAAAAGGTTTTATAGCAAATGGACCGAATAAATTAAATTCAGGATCGACATTAATTAACAATTAAGTCTTTGGAATAATTCAACAACAATCTTCGCGTTAATATATCTCACAAGGCATCATACTCTAAAAGTGTCATGATACTAAACGTCTTTAGTCAGGAACATTATTTTGTATCATACACTTTTATGTTCAAAAAATTACCTTTATATGAAAAATTACGTATTTATGGAAACCTAGTTAAACCATATTTTACAATCGGATAAAAACTCCATAAACTTCTTAACACGCCCTATGCCCATTACCTGAACGAGAGCACACACATTAAACATGCAAAAGCACGCACTGAAAGCTGTGCGAAAGTAGCGTAGAACTTTCTACGTCTGTAATAAAATATTGGCCGTCTATTGACTGGACGAAGTGGTCATGAAATGTTTAATGTAATAGAAAGCTTGCTTATATCAGATGCCTAAGTAAGTTCTAGTATGGACTTTTTCTCAAACATGCTCGGAAATGTTCGCTTTTCTTTTGAACATAGAAATCGCAAAGAGACAATTTTTTGCGATACTACCAAAATTAAAGAAATTCCCTAAAAAAAAATCGCTACATCAAATTTCTAATTATCTGACCATATAATAAATATACAATACCTTAAGATGCCTACAGATTTGCTCGATTTTTCGACGATCGATACGTGTCTATCTACAAAAAATACGAAAAAATCGATATCGTTCATCTGTTTCTTACACATTTCGATTCGATTCTGTCTGATTATACATGTTGACCGACAAAATAATAAGAATAAACTAGTAATTTTGTAATTATTAAATAATTATATTGAGTAATTTTGACAAAAAAAAAAACGCGCAAATCTGTGTATATGTGATACAACCAAGTAGGTAAGAAGTTACTTATATAATAACCTCTATATGTCTCGGTTGACTCAGTAATTGCGTGAGTGGTATTTATAACTCATACTCGTCCAGCAGTAGGTAGTTTATTCTCTGGACCAAGACAAAAATGTACTGTCAGCGCAGACTTCAAATGCTCCCAATATCGATTTATGTAAACATGAAGAGATTTCAAAGTTCCCATAATAATATACTTTTTTGAAAGAATTATACGTTTTGGAAATGAAGTTTTTTTTCGGATCTCACTCGCGTATATTTGTTTTTTCAAACAAACCAACGTTTTGAGTCCTTATAGATACCATAGTCACGGCTGAATGAGGTATATGAAAAAACAAATATACTTAGGCGATTTTCATCCGAAAAAAAGCTTTATTTCCAATATGTAACAATCTTAAAAACCTAAGAAATCTAATTAAAGGAACTTTTATTCGAACTATATTATATTTTATTCCAATTATACTCGAATTATACGTAATACTGTAACCGTGCAGAATAAACTAAACGCAGCTCTATTAATAGATGAATATCATGACTTCACAAAGATTACCCCGTACCCTTGTCACACTACATACATTAAGAAAAATAATTCATCAAAAGAAATTGCCTAAATTCAATAACTATTAAGGAAAATAAAATGGGAATATTTATTACCTGCATTAATGAACAAAATGAGTGAGGAATTTATTTGTACTTATCAACAATAAAACAACTAACACTATAAATCATACATTAAGAAACATATTTTGAAAACTGAAGATATAAATATCGAGTTCTTAGGTTTTCGCGATTGTTACACATAGGAAATGAAACTATTTTTCCGGATTTAAATCGCGTATATTTGTTTTTTCAAACAAACCGACGTTTCGGGCCCTTTACAGGTCCCATGGTCACGGTTGACTGAGGTGGTACAGTCTTCAACCAGTTATGTCTAATATTAATGCAAACCACCCTATTTTTTCACTATAGTTACAATAGTTATTAATTAAATACCTTATTTTTAATTTTACAAAGAAAACATTCCAATTTACGCTACATTAAGTTTTACAAATTATTTTATTGAATGAATTTTTATTAGGTTTAATTTATTATTAATTATTAATAGAAATTAGAATAAACTAAAACATATTAATTAGTACTGCAGTCTTATGTCTGTTTGGGATTTTTCATTAGAGGAAATACTGGATCCCAAACTGGTGGTACGGAGAAACCATCTTCCCTGTTGAAATTAGGATGTTTTTTAATTTCAATGGCCTCTCGCAGCATCCTGGGTAGATAACGGACTTCTTTTGCAAGGACCTGGGGTTTGTCAAACTTCATTGAATGTGTAGGTTTATCCATGACATGCTCGCAGACTGCAGACTTGTTTACGCGACGGTGTTTGACATCAGCTATATGTTCTTTGACGCGGGTACAAATACTTCGCTTTGTTTGTCCAATATAAGAGAGACCGCACTCACAGTCAAGCTTGTAAACTCCTGCATCCTGTAAGGGGATGTTACATTGACCTGTAAAGGGCCCGAAACGTCGGTTTGTTTGAAAAAACAAATATACGCGATTTAAATCCGGAAAAATAGTTTCATTTCCTATGAAGATATAAACTTTATTTTGAAAAATTGTTATTATATGCATATGTACGTGAGCATGTTTTTGTACCTGTCTAGATGTAATTAAGTTAGTTTTTAAGATTTTTGCTCTATTATTTATATTTTTACTTAAATAGATTGAACTCTTGAAGGCCTTTTGTGAGCGAAGCATGTAATTAGTAAATTTATAAGTATTTTTTTCTGTATTTTGGTCAATAAACTAAGAGACCCCCCATACTAGCGTCTATGCGCCTGATGGTAAGCTACACGCCTGTCCATAACAGTTGCATTGCCACTCAGAGCTTTCAATCGCAAAGATCTGAGGGGCACTGCCACTGCGCTCGTCACCCTAAGACATAAGTTGGCAAGTCCCATATGCCTGTAATTTCACCAGCATCCTCACCCTTCAAAACCGGAACACAGTAATGCTGACATTATGACATTGTTGTTTGGCGGCAGAAATAGCTAAGGTGGTTTGTCTTCCCTGGACGAACTCTTTCACAAGGAACTCTACTGCTAATTGCACCCATACCTGAGTGTCATCGTGTCTGCCTAGTTGATGGTAGCGATTTATACGGGTGAATCTAATATTCAATCAGTCAATTTTATTTGTCATAATAAAGCGCTGTAGGTTCTTGTTTAAAATAAATCCAGCTTATTTTATCATAGTGGCATCCTAATGCATAAACCTATTATTCAAATATTCGCTACGATTTATTAATTATTATCAAATAGTTCAGTTCCTATTAGGTTTACATGGAAATTATTTGAGAGAGTTAATGTGTCGTGTTTAATAAAATCATCATTTAATATGATAGTATCCTTACTAACCATGAAAAGAGAATATTGGGCTTTTTTTTGTAATACCAAGTGACAGGACGAGCAAGTCGTGCGTCTGATGTTAAGCAACACGTCTGTCCTAATATATATAACTGCTTCCGTGGCCGAACGGTTACCATGCCGGACTGCCCCGCAGAGGTCCCAGGTTCGATTCCCGGGCCGGGAGAAATGTTTGTATGGCCTACAATTATTTCTCTCGTGAGTTTGGGTGTATTTTGTGGTTGTCTATGTGTGTGTCCATGGCACCCGCGACACAGGGTTTCCCTAGTGCGGGGCTATGTTGAGTGTGTGCGTTATTAAAAAATATCACAAAAAAAAATATATAGAAATATTATTTATATAATACTAGCTGGTGCCCGTGACTTCGTCTGCGTAGAATAAGTACTTCGAGTAATTTATTTTTGTGACAAAAAGTAGCCTATGACCTTCTTCTAGGTGTTTTCTGCACAGGACTTTTAATACCCCCCGTGTAAAACCAATCTTGGCATTCAATCCCCTTTGATTAGAATTTTCAACGAGTACAATACCATTAACAGTAAAAGCCAGGATCCAGACGTGTACCACGATACGAGGTATTTAATTAAATTATATGACTTTATTTAATTAAATGATAAAGCCAAAGTCTCTTTAAACACGGTTCTGACTGAATGCCAGCGTCGTGGGAAACCGCGGCATTTACGCTGAGTCAGAGCATTTTCACTACCATGACTTCCAAAACTATTTACTTTAATTAGTTATAATGTTAATAATAATTACATAATTAAAAAATAGTAAGTACGTTCCATTTGTTATAAATATTTGTTATTTTAAGTAGTTCAATATAATAATAATTATGGTGTTAGTTTTAGTGGATCCTATGTAAATAAGTTTTCGTGGAAGTGAATAAAGTTTTTCGTGTACCTAGTGATAAGCGACACGTCTGTCCATAATAGAAGAAATGTCATGGAGAAAAGAAAAAAGAGCGGTTAGAAAACATATCCTCCAATGAACAACTTAATTTTTTGACCTCTTCTGTATTTCTTTTTCCTTTTTTTGTCAAAAATTTCCGTTGTTTTTTTCGTATTTTTTTTTGTTTCTCAATTTTTTTCCTCCAAATTCCGGGAGCATAATATTAGTAAATAAATATGTGTGTATACAAAAATAACGGAAAGTGATCAAAAAATAATATTGACGTAGTGCTTATTGGAGGTACCGACATATTGCTCCTCAGTTTAGAGATCGACGACTCGGATCCTTGAGATGGCATGTGTCTATAAGTTTAATTTCTTTTTTTTTAATATTTACTACCTCTCGCTAACGGTGAAGAAGTTTCATAATCCATATAGGAATCGTGTAAAGTATTCAATCATATAACTGTGGCCTAAACCCACTCCTTAGAAGAGACCTGTGCGCGGTAGTGGGACGCATAAAAGGCTGACGATGTTGAGGATAATAATAACTTAGAAAAAGCATTCATCACAATTGAAGCTTTGATAGAATGTGTCTTATTGCATCATATAAAGTTTATAAATATCTTAAATAACGCACA